TTTCGATCTTAACATTAGTGTGATTTTACTTCTAGTCGCCATAGGCCAAATTTCAATTTTTTGTGCAATAAACAAGTATCTAATTCTGGTCTTTGAATACAATATTATTTTCTATAAATTTACATAAAAACATTTTAAAAAATATTCTATTATGATATTACAGTCAACCCCCCTAAGTGTACCTCCCTTGGGAATGAGTGGGAGTGTGCATTTAAGGAGGGTGTGCATTTAGGGAATTAAAGCATTTTATTGGCTGCACATATTGGTGACTCATGTGACACTAATTAAAAATTTTAAATTACAAAAAAAAAATTCAAAACATGAATCCTACCTATTGTAATTTGTTCCATTGTATTAAGTTAATTCGTAATCCGTGAAACAACTGCAAAAATTTGCCGATCATTAATATGTTTTTGTAGCGATAATAATTTTCAGGAGTTTTGAGAATCTGACATTACCTCACGCGACCAACGTGAGTCAAGAAAATTACGCGACCGCGATAAATTTTTTTTTATTTTAAAAAGAAAAATTATATTTTTTAAGCATAACCTTTTTCATTTTTTTAATAAAAACACAAAATAATAATGAGTAAAAGGAAAAGTTACCCAGTTTCTTGGCCAATTTACATTTTGGTGATTTTTCTCAATATTGGTGGGAGATCAGACAAACTGATAATGATTCTATTTTATATCCTATTAAAATAAATATGAAAACATTAGTTATACTTAATAAAACACATTTTTTTATTACAATTATTGAAGGTCATAAAGATTGTTTACATAACCTGGCTATATACACCCCTAAAAAAAGTATCGACTCACTTGATGATCCGCGAAAATAATCGGGTAAACGGGTAATAGAAATACTCAATTTTTTACTAAGTTGTGTATTAGTGAAAAAAAGTTCACTGAAATGATTTCTATAACATTCTAAAATATCACATCGGACTGATCGTTATTGATAATTTTATGATGTTTAAAAGTCAAATTAAAATTTTTCGAAAAAGTTGCACTTAGAGCTATTTTAAGATACAATGTTTTAACGCACCCTGGGAACTTAGAAAATGTTGTTCCGTTTGTTCTCAAATATATAAATATGAATATTCATAATTATTGGTGGAATATTCATAGAGAATTAATAGAAAACGCAAAAAAAAATCGTAACGAATTTCATCCACAATTTGCATAATATTTTACATAATAAATATTTATTAAATTTATATCAAAAGTATCGAAAAAGTATAAATATTTGATTTATTTATTCAATATTTTGTCGGGTTTCCCTTTGAATCAATTACAGCTTGAACCCTTCGAGGCATGCTGTCTACTAATTTTTGCAAATAATGACAATCAAGATTAGCCCACTCTTCCATCAAAAAAGAAACTAATTCATTTGTATTTTTTGGAGGATTCCTTTTGCGAATTGCTTTTTCTAATTGGTCCCAAACATGTTCTATTGGATTAAGGTCTGGGCTTTGAGCAGGCCAAGGGAGTGAAGATATTAAATTTGCCTCTTTCC